AGGGTTTTTATAGAGACGCCAAGGGGTGGAGCAAAAGACCTCCTCCCCCAGCACAGCCAAGTGCAGACCATCCCAGACACCTGCACTCAGGCCTGTGGTCCTAATCATCCTCTATGCGGACCTGCTGGGTAAAGCCACGAGGAACCCGAGAACGGGCTCCCACAAGCACGTGAAGAAGAAGCATGACTAGAATGTCACAAACAGACAGAAGGCACGAATAGAAAACCCGAAGAAAGAAGCAAGTTCAACTTTAAGATAGACCTGAAGAGATCCACACCAAGTCCCACTATACTCAAACTCCTGAAAAAACAAGGCGGAACTTGAAAAGTCACAAGGGAAACAACTCATCCATCATACGCAAGGGCTCCTCAGTAGGAAGATCAGCAGATTTCTCATCAGTCTCTGACCCATTGCTGAGAATTTGCACATGGGTGTTTATAAGAACACTGGGCTCTAATTTGTGCTCTGTCTGGCTTTACTACTGGGTCACAGAATTTAGTGAAATACAGACAATAGTTTTAGAGGCTGGAAGTTGAGACGAATGGGAAACTACTGCTTAATGAGAAGAGAGTTTCAGTTTTGCAAGGTGAAGAGTTATAGAGATAGCTAGAGCTGTACTGTTAGGAGTCTATTTAATACCAGTGAACTGTACACTTAATAATAACTAAATCAAACTGTTGTTATATTTTACTCTAACACAAAAATGGAAGAAAACGTTTTCCCATTTTATTGGTTTAACTTTTAAAACATGTGGTAAAACATCTAACATAAAATTAGCAATTTTAGAATGTCATGGGGTCTAGGGACTTGCCTCAGGAGCACAAGAAGCCAGGGGATAGGCAGGGCTGGTAATAACTGGTGACAGGTGGGATGGTAACAAGACACCTAAGCAGGCCTGACTCTGTTTCCCTCGTAAAATTGTGGTACTTTCAGAGAATGCTTGACTAAGTTTTATGTATCACTTGTGTTTTTCTTACTAAAGGAGGCTTCACAAAAAAAGAAAAGCAAGACAAATTGACGATAATTTTGCCTGAAAGTAAGAAGAAATGGTAACAGTTAATCTAAATGACAGTTCTAAATTTGAGCTAATTGTGATAAAGATGAAGACAACATTGTATTGCATAAAATTATCTCAAAGCACTCATACTTTCTTTGAGGTCACCAGACACAGGCAGTAAGGTTAATAATTTATCTACCATGAATTATCACCTATTTGTGCCAGTACTAAGAAATAATAAAGTAAGTCGTGGAGCTGGACAGATGGCTCAGTGGTTAAAAGCACTTGCTGCTCTTGCAGAGGACTTGGGTTCAATTTCCACCACCAACATGGTGATTCACATCCATCTGTAACTGCAGTTCCAGGGGATCTGATGCCCTCTTCTGGCCTCTGAGGGCACAAGGTATAGACATGGTGCACAGAAATATATGCAGGCAAAATTCCCACAAACATTAAAAAATACATAAAGACTCAGAACCATCCAGACATCTCCCACAGGTAACAACTATCCCACGACAACTATTTCACTCAGAAGCAGCGTGACCACTCCTGTCCATGTGCACAGGATGAACGTCCTCTTTTAATTGTTTAAACTTTTCAGAACATCTCAGTTCTCTACTACTAGAACTTTGCGTATCCATTTTCCTAGCAAGTTACTAATCTTTTTCATAAAAAATAACAATTCTTTGACCCAGAAGTGTGAAGCTGTTTTGAATATTCTGTATTTAGAAATACCTTTCAAGGTTGTTCACTGATTTTTAGCTTACATAAGCTCCTAATTTTTTAAATACACCAGGGAAAAAAGCAATGGATTTTTTTTTCCAATTTCTAACCAAATAGTTGTGCTTTTCTAATCACAATTTATTTGATGTAAAACACAGCTGGAAAGGTATCCTTTAGAAAACTGATACCTAGCAAGCAATATGCAAACTATTAAATACAACTAGCTAATGTTTTCTTTATTTGTACCCAAGATACCATATGTAATAAAAAGAGCTAAGTGTCTGAAGCAAGCTTCACTTCTTCCGCAAATTAGGTTGCTTGAAACGTTAAAGGTCTTCAAGCTTAGTTATTCACCAACTCCTTTTCTCATTACCAGGAGAGAAAATGCATTCTTTTAAAAAGAAGCGCTCATCTGTGGAAACTTTCTAATTAACTTGGTGCAAAGCATGTGCAAGATGGCAGTTTTCTACACTGCTTCAGCATTTTAATTGGCAGAAAATGCTTAGCAGCCTCTTCACGACCCCCCTTGGTAATTAAGCGAGGGTCAACTCTATGACTAAATGAGCCAATCTTGTGAAACAAATGATTTCTACCATGCAGACTATTCAGGGTATTTGGTTTACAGCAGTCTTTGAACAAAGTTAATGAGGTAGTAGTTGAGTCACTATGGGAGATATATATATAAAACAAGTTAACCTTTCTTAATGGTGTAGCAGTCATTAAAAATAATTACTAGCAGGGCATTCTCTCTAACAATTATTAACATCTATCAGAACATAATTAATTCAAGCTGCATTTCTGACAATGCTAAAAACCACCTGCAAACAACTAATCAATATTCACTAGTTTTAACATATTTGTTTTCAAAACAAGCACAATTTCCTCTAAGGCTTTTGAATTAAATAAGCTGCGAACTTCTAGAATTACTAGTTGCATACCTGTCAACAGCTTTCTTTCAATAATGGATTATGGCAATATTACATTATAGACAACACTAAGTAAAAGTCCTGATTCACCACTGGCATGAAAACAAAGAACTGGAATTTTTTTTTAGAATCCTTCAAAATGAAAACACTACTGGTTTTAACTTCAAATGAAACAACCTTGTTAGGTTCCATTTCTCCCTATAAGAAAAAGTATATTTTATTTCTAATTAAGCTTAATCTCGAATTCCCTTTTTGTGGCAGTAAGAGAGATGGTCTCTCATCTACAAAGAACAATATGCATGAAGTCAAGAAAGAGGACAAATTAATTAACTTCAATGTTAATTTTCAATAAATATCTTCCTGGAATACAACAGAGAACTTCCAGACTAATATTAAACCATTTATTCGTTAAATCAACATGAATGCTTGTTTCTTATCCAAAGCTCTATTTACTATGTATAGAGAGGAGACTTCTAGTCACTACCTTTAAGTAACTGAGGCCAAACAAAAACATTTACCTAAATTGCACACCCTTAATGCCAGCACACGAGGCAGAGGCAGGTGGGTCTCTGTGAGTTCGAGGCCACCCTGGTCTACAAAGTGAGTTCCAGGACAGCCAGGGCTACACAGAGAAACCCTGTCTTGGAAAAAAAAACAAGATCCTCCCAAATCTCTGCTATTAGGGACACATGTAGATGTGTCAACAGGGAACTTGGGTAAGCTGCTGCTGAATGGTAAATTAGCACAAAATGTCTAATGTCTGAGCTGAAACTCTGAAGAGACACAGAAGGCAGAGAAGAAAGGAAGAAAAGTGACATCATCAGTTGTGTGCTAAGCTTATTAAGTTGAGAAAAGAGAAATGTGAGAGACTGGGATGCAAGAGTAGGGAGTAAGTGGGAGGTACAGCCAGCCTACGGATCAGCAAAGCAGGGGACTCTACCCTTGACACCATCAGGCACGGGACAGTGTGCACGAGAAAAAAGGAAATGTACCGGGGATGTAATACAAAGTATTAACTAGTGTAAGGGTATGGCAAACATCATGGAGGGAATGCAGGCTTCAGCTAAATCCAGAAGGCAAAGGTACAGGGATGAGCTGCCCACAATTTCTATCAGACAACCCTCACCATTTGTGGGCTGTCACTAATTAAGTCTGCAAATCGTGGGCAAGTTACTTAACTTCTCTCTGCCTTGGATTCTACCTAAAAAGAAAACAAAACCACACATGAAAAATTAAAACTAAAGAATCAATCACAAAATTTCTCTCTCAGAATTATTGCTGAAATTTAGCAGGAAATAAAAAGCATATAAAACATTTGGCATATAAATACCAAAATGTCTTAATTATGCAGGTTGAACCCTAGCACAACTACCTGACATGTTGCCTTCTAAGACTGTTGGGAGGAGTAAATGAATTGAGTTTAGAAGATTGTCTGCAATAAATGTTTACAAAGTAAATAAACTAAATTATTAATGTAATGTTGAAAACAAACAACTTCTATGCCAGAGGATCTCACTTACATTTTAGAAAATAAATTGAGATTAAGTGCCAGAAATGCCTTGCAAGGGGTAAGAACATAGGCAAGAAGGTAATGAAGCTATTTAACAATCAAACAAACAAGACGAATGTAAGCAAAGGTTATAATAGAGTGCCTGGAGTTAGAAAATGTCTACAATTAGACTCCTGATTATACAAGAGAAAAGGGGGAAAGAAGATTGTTAGAGGGAAATAAGTTCTAGATTCTATCAAAAGAATGATGGTGGATTCCAGATCCTTGAGAGTTACAAACTGTCCGATAGCAGAGTTTTCAATGCTAGGAGGGAAGTCTGACCATCACAGGGGAGATATCCGGCCACCCGGATATGATGGGAAAACAACCAACCAACCAGCCTAGGAGTGGTCTGCACACAGTATTGGTTTCACCCCTTCGGAACCTGGAGGAAGTAAGCAGGAGGAAGTTGATATCCCAACTATGTGGCATGTCAGAGACATTGCCATTGTTTAGCTTCTAGCATCCCATTTTACTTCTTTAAAATCCAATCACCTTTGCGTTCACGAAGCCCTACTCCTGCAAAAGATTAAATAATTGTAACATAAAATAACTTTAGAGGTCCCATGATGTATAGGTGCTTGTCAAAAAGAATACTCCTCTATATGGCCAGGCCAGAAGAATAAAAATAAAAACATAATCAGCCTCTTCACTCCCCCAATATTTTAGATGCGTATCTAAATCTGATTAGAGCATTAAATCTGACACTAAAATGAAACCAACAATTTGGTGTTTCTTTTTAACTAACCTATAATTTAAGTGACAGTGTAAGTACTATCTCAAGGAAGAAAGAAAAGTCTCTTACCTGATGCCCCTATATTTGCCTTATCTTCAGGAACCAGAGTTTTATCCTTATTTAAATCTTCAACTAAAAGTTTGTCAAAATGCTCAATACAAAGTCTGCTGTCGATCTGATACAGCAACGCAGGGCAAAGGTACGTAAACAGATCAGGTGAGATGGGAGAGTTGGCACCAAGACCATAGTGTTTTAACAACTGAGTGACGTTCAAACACTGCAAGGAAACGGATAAACAAATTGAATATAAGCAGGTTTTAAGACTATTATGCAGAAAATAAACTATTGTACAATTAAGACATTCTAAATATCACTTGAAAATAATTGTGATACAGATCCCTAAGAATCATCCTTTCCATAGGAATTTATGTAAAGATTTAAAATAGGGATATATTCTACTAGGTTACTCAAGACTTTCTAGAGATCCTAGTCATTTTTCTAGTCCAACACTTGAAAGATAATTACTCAGCCATGTCCCCAAAGAGTCGTATAGGATCAGAAGGGCTCTTCCTTACCACACTGCAGTATCAGTGACTCAAAACTCCATCAACACAGGCATTTTTTCCTGCCAAAGGCATTCTAGGAGAATGTTATACTGAATGCTGGGGCACACTTTAGCTCAATGGGTTTGATCATCACAACAGCAAAATCGTAACAGCAATCCATTAAAATGCACACGTGCACAGGTGTGCGCGCACACACGCACGCACGCACGCACACACCAGACAGACAACCACCAGTCTAGTCTAATGTGCTGATGTGCACTAGAGGGAAAGAAAGATGAAAAAGGGCAGTGACTGGGGATGTCCCTCACTGCAAGGTCTTAGGTTTAATCTCAGTACAAAGAAAAAAAAAAGATTTATCCACTGACATGTTAAAAACAAAGCAGAATGCAATTACACAAGTCTGGATCCATCATAAAGTAAAAATTAATGTCTTATATTAAGGTAAGGAACTGGACCCTCCCTTTTCCTCTTCTGTCCACCCAGTCTGGTTGCATACTTCTTTACTGACCTACTGCCTAAGTACTTCATCTTTTAATAGCTCAAAATAACCACGACACACAAAATCAAAACCTGCTCTCAGGTCTTAGTAACTGTGAGGTACTAGCCTACTCAATGCCCAAAACATTTTCAAAATACCAGGGTGTCAGGGCATCAGATCTGTGAGCACAACAGCATGGAGACCTCTTGGGTCTGATACACACAGTAAATATGAGAATACAACATGTTATCACCTAGGGTAGGCACTGAGGCCTTATCCATAATAATAAATGTACACTTTAAAATCTCGCTAAAATTTTAATATATTTTATTGTAAAAACTGCTGTTTATAACTGCTAGAAACAAGTGTCTGCTGATGTAGCCAGGAAAGAACTACCATCAAACTACTCAGATGCACATTAATCTCAAAAGTAGTGACAGCAACAAAACAGGCCAACTCCCCTCATCTGATGGTGCTGCTTACTATTTATATAAACATATAAAGTCAACAAACTTTTCTAAATTTTAATGGGATTGATAGAAATCAGAATAAAAAGTAGTATTGGTATACATATAACAAAAAAAGAAGTACACTTTAAAAAAAAACAAGGAGGGCTGGAGAGATGGCTCAGAGGTTAAGAGCACTGCTTGCTCTTCCAAAGGTCCTGAGTTCAATTCCCAGCAACCACATGGTGGCTCACAACCATCTGTAATGAGATCTGGTGCCCTCTTCTGGCCTGCAGGGATAAGTGTACTGTATATATAATAAATAAATAAATTTAAAAAAAAAAAAGAAAGACTAACAGTCATGGAAAATTTAAAAAAAAAAAAAAAAAAAAAAAACAAGGAGGAAACAATCAAAAGCAAAAAGCCTCCCAAAGCCTGAAGATTTAGGAGAAAAACGAGACCATTCCAGTAGTACTGGGATTTTCCATTATGTATTTTTAGATTCACAGGGGTCTGTGAAGTGCCTCAGTAAAGACTGGTATCACTATAGGCCCTATCATAAAGAAAAAGAGAGAAGTAGCCCAATGCATGCACAGAAACTCAGAAGCTAAACACTGGCAATCATTAGTATATTTCAATAAATTAATAATGATGCAAGACAAACTGTTCTACCTATTTCCGGAAAACTCAGGTTGAACAAGAACAAACATGTTTTAATTTTCAAATATTTAAAAAGCAGTCATAGTACTAACAGTGACAACTGTTACTAGAGAGTCAGAATTCATGAAACAACTTAGTAAAATGAACTAAAGAATATATTTTCAAACAACACTTAAATATTTAGACTTGAGGTATCCAAATTTGAGAATAAATAAAACTGTGATTAAAAATTTCCAACGCTGATTTTGATTCCTTAATGCTTAGTACTGTTATCTGATGCTCCACAAGTATACATATGTAACTCCTTATCCTAACCTAAACTGTCCACAACTACCAACTAACCACCAGACACCACTGTGTATTTTATACCTACTTCATGTTGGCGGTCGTCTTCATTATGGTCTTTGTGGCTGGGAGTGGAATAAATTGCACTTTTTTTAACATGCGGTGCCTCTCGCTTTCTAGTGTGTCGAAGTTCACCTTCATTATTAGGATCAAGATCTTGGTGTCCATGACCAAGATCATGACCATCGTGCTCTGGAAGATGTACATGGGGATGACCTGGGCTATGTACACGGTCAAGTTTGTGAACCCGATTATGCTCATATTGTTCACTGTGATCATGGTTGGGGAGGAAGCCTGGTGTGTTAACCTCAGAGTTTTCTTTCTTTCTCTTCCCTTTTTCCTTCCTCCTGACCTTCAACGACTTAACTTCAGATTGTTCTTGTGTTTTATTGGTCTCTGTCAAAGGCCCGTGACCAGGCTCCCCATGCTCACTGTGAGTGATAGAATCATTATGGACACGCCGAGTCGTGTTATGATCTAGGTGATGATGTAGACGATGGCGATGATGTAAACGATGATTGTGGTCATGCAGGTGTTTATCATCAGATTTGATGGGTACTTCAGCTGCCTCTTTTTCTGGATCACATTTGTGGTTTCTTTTTGATGTTATACTGGTAGTGGTATGGTTTTCTGGATTTAAGTGATTGTGGAAATGCTGGTGGTTGTGTGAATGAAAATGCTTTCCCTCTTGAACTGCCAGAATGTCTAAGTGAGAAACATGATCATGGCCAAGGTCCTCATGATTAATCTCAACGACTTTGATCTCTCCAAGGCCCAAGTTTGTTAAAAGTTTCTCCAGACCAAAAAATGATAACCTTCCATTTTCACCGTAACGGTCAAAAAGTTTCTCAATATAGTACTTTTTTTCATTTTCAGCATCCTGCACTGAAAATTTGCTTGACTCCGACTCTGTCATCCCACGATGGTGTCTGTGGAGCTCCTCAGGGCCATGGTCATGGTCTTCATGGCAGTGGTTGCAGTGATGGAAAATGAATGTCAGCAAACAAATGAGGCAGAATTTCGTGTGTATATGCACCTTCATTTCTATTTCTCCTAAAGGGACGTCAAAAGACAGGGTTAGTTCACACCCAGGTGCAATCAAGACAACAACATTCCTGTACATTTGCCAACCATTAGACAGTTCTATTTCATCCCACTTCCTTCATAACTATGGTCACTCTTTGCTTCAATATCCTCTATGAAAAACAGCCCCTTTTATTGAATTGTGTTAGTGAACAGCCCTTCTTAATTCATACAAACTTTTCAAGACAGAGGACAGTTTTGACTACTTTGAAAACACCAAAGACTCTATATACATTTTTATTGTTGACTTACTTTCAATCTGGTCCTTTAAAAATAAAAGTAAAGTAAAGTTTGCTGGTTCTTGTAAACTGAGGTCCTGGTTAGGGCAGCGATATAGAAAGACGTGATAACTGAAATGGGCGGCTAGAAAGACGGCTTAACAGCTAGAGTACATCTATCTGTACATACACCGACATATACTGCTTTTGCCTAGGACCCAGGTCAGTTCCCAGCTATGGTACCAGGCAGCTCACAACCAGATAAAACTTCAGCTCCAGAGAAATCTAATGGCTTCTTCTGGCCTCCATGAGAAACTGAACACAAACATAAATATCCCCACAGAGACAGGCACACATAATAAATCTTTTAAAATTCATTAAAATTTTTAAAAATTAGGAAAAAATTCTCATTACTTACAAATGCTTAGAATTGGATACAATAAAAATCAGAGAGTAAGTAATTTTCTACAATTGCTTGATATAAGAATAACTTAAAATCTAATGTATTTTTTGTTTGTTTGTTTGTTTTTGTTTCTGTTTCTTGAGACAGGGTTTCTCTGTGCAGCCTTGGCTGTCCTGAAACTCGCTCTGTAGACCAGGCTGGCCTGGAATTCAGAGATCCGGCTGCCTCTGCCTCCTGCGAGTGCTGGGACTATAGGCATTCGCCACCACCGCCTGGCCAAACGTATTTCTATATAGCACAAAAACTAGAGCATCTAACTAGTAACTAATACCTTTACTAACAGCAAACAAATAGCTAGAAATACATTTAACAAGTGATGTCTAAGGCCTTTACACAGAAAAGGGTCACACGTTATTAACAAAATTGAAGACTTAAGTAAATAGATGCCTATACCATGTTTATGAATAGACAAAGTATTTATCCAATACAATCTCAATCAAAAACCTGGAAGTTATTTTGTGAAAAGCAATGAGCTGTATTTCATATTCATGTGAAAACAGACGGGTCAAGAATGGCCATCACAAGATTGAGGGAGAAAACAAACAGGAATATGTATGCTCTTAGTTCCTAGAGACAGTGTGGTATTTGGTGCAAAACTAGACCAAAGGAGGGTCAACTAGATGGCTCGGTGGATAAATGTGCTTGCTGCCAAGGCCAACAACCCTAGATAGATACCCGGAACCCACATTCTTGAAAGTTTATCCTCTGTCCTCCAGAGGCATGTCGTGGCATTTGTGTACACACACACACACACACACACACAGAAAAAGAAACACAGAGATTAAAAATGTAAAAATGAAGAAAAAGGTGTATGCCAAAGGAACAACAACAACAACAACAAATTCTTGACGTTAGTCAATACAGTAGCCAACAGCCGAATGTGGGTACTCAAATTTAGTGAATTAAATTGGAATTTAAAAATCAGCTTCTCAGTTATCAGAGCCACATTTAAAATGTTATCCCTCCACATGCAGCTGAGGGCCATGGTCTTGGACAGGGCAGACACAGAACACAATCATCACGATGGTAAGTTCTACCCAACAGCACACTTCTAGAGTCTAAAAATATAGTGTGAGCAGTTCTGTTATTTTGAACTTTTCTAGAATAAACACGTGAAACTAATTTCCTATTACATTCTAGCTAATTCACATCTGAAATTTGTTAACTGGGTACTTTACATCCTGTTTAATATTATGTATTGGAACTGATGCACGTATTTTACATCTATATGATGTATAGCACAACTTAACTCAGACTAGCCATTATTTCAAGTGCCCAACAGTTACATGTGACTACTGACCACTGTAACTACAAAGTGCAGATCTCCAAAAGTTACTTGAGAAACTAAGAACTTCAAGACAGGAGGCAGAAAACACTGAAAAAGGGAAACCAGTGTCATTTACTTCAATTACAATTAAGGATTTCCGTTCAAAAGGTATCTCTGAAAAAGAAAAAGAAAAACAAAAAAACAAAGAAGCAAGTCATAAATATGGTGGTAGGAATGGATCTGAGAGGAACTTGGGAAGGGGATGAATATGATCAAAATGCATTGTATGAAATTCTCAGAGTTAATAAAACTATTATTATTTAAAAAGCAACTCATGGACTGGAGAAGATGATTACCATGAGCAGATGGGAGCAGAAAGATATATACTATGTCGTTTACAGGTGATTTAAAACCCAACAAAACACAACACAAAACAAAAAACCTTTCCTTTTTAGGACTAACACATGTAGCCAGACCCGGTAGGGAAGATTACGCTTTGGAGCAGTTCTCTTCTGTGGAAGGGAAGAGGAGAATTAGCGGTGAGGACTCGTATTCAACCACTTCATCATACTTTCTTTCTTTCAGAAAAAAGGATGAGAGAAAAGGAGCTGAAGCAATCTGACAGACAGTTAACATATGTTAACAGGGTAACGGGATGCAAGTGTTCCCTGTTTTCCTGACACCACACACCTGCGCGGTGGTTAAGGAGCCGGGTGATTGTGGGAGCGGCATCAGTAGCATCAAGATCGTCTTAGAGTTAGGGTACCCTAGTTGCAGAGTTATTACACCCTACTCAGACCTGCTACGTCAGAGTCTTGGGTTATGGTCAAACAATGTTTTAATCTAGCTTTCCTACTGAGTCTGATATAAACTAGTGAAAGTTTGAGGTCTAATAATTTATACCAATAAATTGTCAAGTACCCCAGCTAGATACTATAGTCAACTGAAGGTTACAATTATCTGAATATATTAAGTTGAATTACATGTGACATGGGCTAAGAAATTTTACAATCTACAAATTTTATTTAATTGCAAAGTTACAGAGTTTTGATTTTTAATCCAAACATTTCAATTTCTTATCTAGTCTCATTAGTAGAGTCACCATTGAAAAATATTAAAATAGTGATGTGGCTAGAAGCTACAGACCACCAAGAAGCTGGAAACCCCGCGAAGGCAGGAAAAGGAAATGCAGTAGTTAAGGCTTCCCCTTAACGTTTTCAGAGTCTGTGTCTGTGGTCACCTGGTTTCAGACTTGTTTAGCCTTCGGGATGCAGGACAATAATAAATCGCTGCTGATTAAACCACGAGACCGAGGACTGTGTCACACAGACGGTGTAGGACAGTCGCACAAGGACTGACAGGAGGCTGACAGCTCTGGGTGTCCGACTACCTCCATCTGTAAGACAGCAACCCACCACGGCTTAAAGGGAATGTCACATGTTTTAGAATCCAAGTGAAATCTCCCATGAAAAGGAGGGGCCATGTCCTGGCAGAAGATGCTGGCTTCTCAAATACAACAGGAAGAGCAGCAGAGGTGTATGTGGTAGGGGGCATGCTAATCAAAGCCACAAGCTCCCTGGCCTGGCTGTCCAAACTAAAAAAATAAAAAATGAATTGAAATTTAAAAAATCCTATTTTTTTCACATAGGCTTTTTCCCCCCAGCTAGACATTTTAATGGTCAAATCGGAGAAGTCTGAGGAAACAGTCAGTACCCTGTAAAGCCCAGTGCAGACACTAACTACTTTTATTAGTAACTGTGAGGGCATTTGTCTCTATTTTATAAGCACTGAAATGTTCAAAAACACAATGCAGACACCAACTGTTTGGCCTAGAGAGAGCGTATCCATTTTACCTGTACACTAATGAAAATGAAAGGCCATGGAGGACTCCAGCCAATCAGGAAGCAAAGTAAGACTCATCTGATTCCTGAGCCTTTTGAGAAGGGGTCTCTTCAGAGCTTCTTAGCCAGCTCAAATGAATGCTTCTAACACTCATCTCTGTCTCTGCCTCAACACTTGTGCAGGGACCTCAGGTTTCCTCAGAGATGCTAGAATAAGCTCATGTCTCAGTTACCCATTCATCTGATACACAAATGTCACAAGGTTTCTTCAATGCCCATTAGCTCACTGCTCAATAACCAGGAACCAGTAATGCAGATCAGAAAAGATCTAATAAATTATGCTATGAAACAGAAAACCTAGAAATAGTAGACATGAGGTTTATGTTGACATGTATCACTACTCATTTGTGTAAAGGACTCAATATGTTGCAAAGATTCTAATCTCCAGGCTTTTAATTACTACATTCAGGGGAGAATAATGGGTATTGAAGAATGTAAGTGACACAGGAGTAATCTTCAACTTGGGAGCTTTTTAAATTAAATGATAACGTTGGCAATTTCAGTACTACTTTAGCAGATGTGTTAGAAGCATTCATTTGAGCTGGCTAAGAAGCTCTGAAGAGACCCCTTCTCAAAAGGCTCAGGAATCAGAGAGTTCCTTCCTCTTGCTCTGGTTATTCAGAAACATATTAACCTGCCATGGATGGATCTGAGCTCAGACAGTGGGAAGAGAAAAAAGGAAAACACAGGTTCAGGAGTTCACCCTCGGCAGCAGGGAAGTAGACGCTGCCCTCATCAACTTTCCTTATATCCAACCTGCAAGCAGCCACGGGCCTCAGTTAACATGGAGGCTGGGAATCCTGGTGCACCTATAATTTATGGAACTTCCTAAGCATTCCAGGGAGGTTGAGAATCCTTTAACTCCCACAGGATTATCTGTGGGGTGGGAAAAGGAACTTAGGAAATGTCAGACAAACTCATATATTACTCCATCCTAAATACTGGCCTTCGGAGGACATGGCTGTGCCTTAAACAAAATATTCCACTATGTCTGTTTTAGAATTCTTCAGGTTTTATGTGTTGAGAGTATTAATTTTATAATCGAGGATAGCTTTTATCTGGGCAAGACTTTACCTATGCTCTGCAGACACCAGTATGCAATCCCACCGCACAAGAAACGGCAGGATGAACTGGGGAAGACATAAACTGTCAGATGTCATCAGAAAGCCGTGCTCATGTCTCCCTGCTGATGTGTCATGCGGCACCCCCGCCGAAGTTTAAGTGTCCTGTCACCACACCATTCCTAACTGAGAGGTGAACTTACAACAGGGCAATTTCATCATTCCGAAATCAGTCTTTCTAAACCCAACAGTTTGCTTTGGATGAAATGACTGTACTTAGCTTTAACATCTGGACCATGCAGTGCAGCTGTGGCCAACTTCGGCTGCATCATGAGCTAACTCCGGAGCGTTAGTAAGTTATCTCTACCTGAGTGCTGGCCACATGAGTACTTTCACTTCCTGAAACATGTGAATTGTATACCCAGTCATGAATGCTTACCTGCAAGTGTGTTCTCATTCAACTAACATTTAATTTTTAACGCCTGTTCAAAGAATATAGACTTCAACTTTGAGTCAGAAAAAAGAAAAAAATGGAAACCGTTTGCACAGATGAATGTTTAAATAATTTTTTTTTTTTTATCCTGAAATAGTTTAAAATTCAGCAGTGGTAAAAACAGCTCCGATTCCACATCACCTTCCAGTCAACTTTCCCCAGTGGTCTTACAGGCCATGTTCAAGACCAAGAGACTGATGCCGATTAAATGTTAAAACTACAGAAAGCACTTGAATGTCACCGGGTTTTAACCACGTTTTACATGCACAGAACACATGGTTGTCCCTAAGAGAAAAGCTACCCAGGTCCTGCCATGAAATGGAGCAGGGCCGCAGCACAGCACCACACTGCCAGGGCAGGCTCTGGGAGATTAGGCAGACCCCCCCCGCACAGATACATTACGTGCTTCCGTGCTTCCGCTTCTCAGCTGCTCTTACTGTAAAGAACACTTACCTCAGTAAATGTCGGTTAACTGGCCTGACTTAGGCAGTTTACAATGCATACATGAATCAAAACAGTGTTGTACACAATAAAGATGATTTTTGTCAATTTACATAAAAAGAAAATTTGAGAGCTTTGACGGGACGTTCTTCCATAAAGGCTTACAAAATTCTTTAATTAGATTGAATTTTTTAATATATAATGTCAAATTACAGACATTTTAGTTTTTCAAGTAAGATAATAGTGCACAGCACCTTATATACTAATTGCTCTTATTACAAACCTTCTGATAGATATTTGACCTTTTTCTATACAAATAAATGTAAATGTAGAAAAAGACAACAACACCCTGGAGACTATCTAACACTGACGATACACCACACAGTTAGGTGAGACTTCCAGACTGTGGGGCACTCACCTGCCTCGACAGCCAGGGCTTTTTCTACCACAGAGTCCTATTTCATACCATAACTAGACACTGATGGGACCCTAGCAGAGTGGTTCATCTAATACACCATGAAGACTCCTTTAGAGGGAAATGAAATCGTCTCCTAACAACAGTTAGTCAATATAAACAACATAAACAAAAAACAAAGTCATTCAATTAGTTACTAAGTGACTGACGTAGAATACCAGTAAACAACGAACAACCCTATCTCTCTCCAACACTGGGTTTCTACAGAGGGCAACCAACTCGGTATAAACCCTATGCCATCTAACTTTCATTTTCAAAATTAAAAAGGAGGGACAAAAGGGGGACCAGGGCCAGGCGGTGGTGGCGCACGCCTTTAATCCCAGCACTCGGGAGGCAGAGCCAGGCGGATCTCTGTGAGTTCGAGGCCAGCCTGGGCTACCAAGTGAGTTCCAGGACAGGCGCAAAGCTACACAGAGAAACCCTGTCTCGAAAAACCAAAAAAAAAGGGGGGACCAGAACATTCTGGACTGTGTTTTTGAAGAATACAGTTAATGCCTCATCTCAGCTGTCTCTCATAGACACACATGTAAGAAATACGAACAGAAAAGTATTGTAAGTTCTTTACGCTAGCCCTTTCGATGTTCTCAATTGTTATTTTGAAAGGCAAGGAGGTAGAAATTCAGAGAGAAACCACTCAACTGCTCAACTGGGATTACGTAAGTATGACACCCTTTTAGTAAACATGTGAAATCCCTTTAAAAAATGTATTTACAGTGTGTAAATTTGAAAAAGGACTTTTTTTATCACAGTACTTCTTCATGAAAACACAGATAGTTTCCTTCTGTCAATCAACAACAAAATTCACAGAAAAGGTGAGACGTGGTAGTGAGTCTGATGTGTGAAGAAATATCAGGCAAGGTGTCAAGTCTGTTGGAAGAGCTGCAAGACAGAAGGAAGTGCTTCTACAGCAGTGGATGGCCGCAGCTGGAGTCTCTGAACCCACACTAAGACGGGAGGAGGGGAGAAGAGAACCAACTCTGCGAAGTTGTCCTAGACTTCTGCACATGTACTAAGCCTAGGTGCCTACACACACAAGCGCATGCGTGTGTACACACACGCATGTACATGCACATAACAATACATTTATACTTTATTTTTTCAAGATTTGTTAAAGATTAGACTGCCTTATTAGTTATGAGTCCTTTGGTAAATATCATCTTTTAAGTCTTATAAAGCGGGGGCTACTGATCTCTGCTTGTTTTAGTTAATTAAGAACAAAATAAAATAAAAATACAACACTTTTAAGTGGTAAAAGGCTTACATTTTTATTTTCCTATCTTGTATTATTTAAATATTACTTAAGTGCAAGTTATTAACAGTAGTATTACTTGGAGTTCATCCTCATTTCTGATGTATTCATCAGATGTATCACCTTGTATAAAGCATTGCAGACCAGCACTCAAAAAAAATTCTTTTATTCACCCCAGCACTACCACTATCTGTCCTCAGCAAAACAAAGTAGATAGCATTTACACTTATATAATAAGGAACCTCACATAACACAAACAAAACTGCTCTGGAAAGCAATTAGTTTTACCAATGTAAGACACTACCATTACTAGATGTGATACTATTGTTTGACTTAATTATACAAA